GAGGAGGAGGAGGAGGAGCGGGAGAAGCGGCGGCCGCGCGCGCTCCAACGGCCTCTCTTCCTCCCTCCCTCCCTCGCTCCTTCCGTCCCTCCTTCCTTCCCTCCTTCCTTCCTGCTCCGCCAACCACCAGGGCAGGCCCAGGCGAAGAGACCGGTGGAGGCTCGCAAGCTTGCACGCCCCGCGGGGAGGGGGGGAGGAGGGGAGCCCTCCTCCCTAGAGGAGGAGCTGGCTAGGGAGGGCCCAGGAGCCCGTCGGAGGATCGGGCCCCCGAAAGCACCGGTCGGGGGGGGGGAAGAAGAGGGAAGAGGGAGGAGAGAGAAGGCGGCTTGTGTTTCCCCCAATCTCTCCCCCCTCCCCCGCACGCGCGTGCATTTTGCCTCCGAGGCTGGAAACATCCCTTTGGGGGAAACGGGGGACCTTCTTTGCGCGCGGGAGGGGACTTCTTTGGAAAGCCTGGAGGCGTGGAGCTTCGGGCTTCCCAGGGCAAACCAGTGCTCTGTATTTTGCCCAGAAATGGACAGGCAGAATATCTGGATGCTGCTTTGGAAAAACTCTAAAGACGGATCGGGTTTCTTTGCCCCCCCCCCACAAGATGTGTCTTACTGAAGTGCATAGATTAGGCATCCCTTCCGTCTCGAGAGACTATGGTCTCGTGCTCTGCATGGAGGACTTGGAACAGCGTCTCGTGTGGCTGAGGAGGCCAATTCCAGAGTGACAACAATCCCTTCCACACTGAAGACATAAAACGCAATCTGTCCCCTGTCCAGCTCCCCCGGTTTTGCTGCTTTCGGGGCTGCGTCTTCAAGGTCCTGGACCAGCCTCTTCTCCTGGCTTTTCATCCTTAAAGCAGACGCGGAGCCGGCCACTCTTACAATGGAGATCCGCTTTCTGTCAGCCCTTCAAACAGGGAAGGCAGACTTGTGGCCACCCCTACACCCCAGGTCCCTCGGGATCCACCAGCAAGGGGGGGGGCTGCTGTCCCTGCGCAGGTTCCCCTCCCTGCGAGAGGGAAGCCTGGACTTGGACGATGGGAGGCTGCCAACCAGCAGGTTTAAAATGCAGAACTTGCCTTTCCGGCCTGAGCGGCCCTCGAGGCTGTTCACGCCCAGCGCTATAAAACTTGCATAATGCAATACTCAATTAAGACCTATGAAATGCGCAGTGCATTAGCATACGTGACACAGTTTGCAAAAGCCTAAACCTGGCTTTCCAGCCATTTGGCAGCAAGAGGTGCTGGCTGATCTTCTTGGAAAAGGAAGCCCCCACCCACCCACACATGCCCCCCCCCGTGGGGTTTGGGTACCTCTTTTTGCAAGCCATGGAGAAACATTTTGTATCAGGGAGAGAAACTGGTCTAAAGGTGACCCTGTTGCACCTGGGCTTTGCATGGGTCACTCCAGGAGGGACAGGTAGCCGGCAGCCGCCAAGCAGACTGGAGTGGGGTGGAAGGGAGGGAAATTCTGCCCCCGTGGGCCCAAAGAGCCTTTGTTTTTGAGGATACACAGGCTGACCTGCACAGTAACTTGTGTGCCCAGTGTACACCAAAAGGAGTCCTCATCTCATCCTCCAGGATCCCACCAGACAGCAGAACGGCAAAACAAGAGGACCTCCACATCTGACCGCTTCTTGTCTTAAAACACAAGCACCCCAGAACGTGCTTCTACTTTTGAGTCCAATGCTCCACCGCCACCCACCCCCTCTTCGCCATCCAGCTGAAAGGACACCAGAGATTGGGGGATGGCTGTGTTACCCCTCCAGAGAAGGCCCCAAAGAGACGCCCTGGATTCACCCCCTTTCAGGCCGTGTGCGAAGGAGATGAGTCCTCCACTCCAAGCGCCGGCCTCATCAATCCTGAGTCAGGCTGGATGCAGCTCAAGGCCTGCCAAGTTGCTGGCCCTCTTTCGACAAAATTAGCCTTCCTGAGAGTCACTCTGGGCCAACTCACAGGGCAGGTGGATTTGTTGCCCAGAATACTGCGAACGGCGTGAGGAAGGCTGCATCTCATCTCTGGAGGCCCCTGCAGCAGAAGGTAAGGTAAAGGTTCCCCTTGACAATTTTTGTCCAGTCGTGTTCGACTCTAGGGGGCGGTGCTCATCCCCGTTTCCAAGCCATAGAGCCAGCGTTTTGTCCGAAGACAATCTTCCGTGGTCACGTGGCCAGTGCGACTTAGACACGGAACGCTGGTACCTTCCCACCGAGGTGGTCCCTATTTATCTACTTGCATTTACATGCTTTCGAACCGCTAGGTTGGCGGGAACTGGGACAAGTGACGGGCGCTCACTGCGACGCGTGGATTCGATCTTACGACTGCTTGGTCTTCTGACCCTGCAGCACAGGCTTCTGCGGTTTAGCCCACAGCGCCACCATGTCCCCAACAGCAGAAGGTGGTCCATCAAAAAGAGATGACTTGCTTCCGGTCTCGGGCAGAGCCATGTGGGCCTGACGTGGTAATGTACTCAGCAGGAAGGAATCCTTGCATTTCCCTCATATCTGGACATTTTTCCGTAGCACCCTAGGCAGTGGGGAACTGTCTGCCTACAGTTCCCCCAGGCAGACTTGCTTTCAAGCCCTGGCCAAGCCAGACCCAGGTCTGCTGAACTTGTGCCAGAGGGCTGCATCCCGGGTCCAAAATATATCATTCCCCCTCAACTCTGAAGCCTTCTGCCACCCCAGAGGGCATCCAGCCTCTCCCACTCCAGAGCAAACAGTTGTAAGCCAGCCAAACTGAAGGCAACTCACCTAGCCGAGGGCATCCAGCCTCTCCCACTCCAGAGCGAACAGTTCATCGTAAGCCAGTCAAACTGGAGGCAACTCGCCTAGCCTACGCCTGTGGACCCCGCTTACTCCAGAGGAGGGGTCCAAAGTTACTTGAAATGACGCTATCGGCAAGAACCCTCTTCCCCTTGCGGTCAGTCATGGCATCGCCGTCCAAGGCCACACAGGCCTGAATAGCCCCATGGGGGTCACAAGGCCTTCCACCAGAACAAGGGTGGTGTTATTTCCCCCTAAATCCATCCCAGGAAGGAGCCCCACCACCTGCCATCCGCATCTCTTCAGAAGCTGCTCCTCTCTTGACCCTCACAGCCACGCCATCTCTTCCAGAGCAACGTTTGCTGGCTCAGCAGTGTCTCCGGCTTCTCGCTTTCCCGCGGTTCCTTTCCCACGGCTCCCCATCCCTTCTCGAGAAAGGCTATAGGAGCCAATCTCCTTACTTCTGTAAAGAACTTAAAACACTTAGTACTTAAAGTGCAAATGATAACATCTGGTACGCTATAAAGGAATGGGTTGGGGGTGTGTGCTTTTATTTTACGCACAAGCAAATCTTTCTGAAATACACAGGAGGTGGAGCAATGAAGTTCCCCAGGCACCAGCATCAGGGGCAAAACAGAGATGCCTTCAGCACTCACCACCCCAAGGAAAGCAGGAGGAAGAAAAAGAGAAGGCAAGGCAACGGTCACTGCTGTTTTAATTAGTCCCACCCTCTGCACACATAAACGAAGACTCCAGATCTTAACTGGCAGAGACTCCCCTATTGGTGATGCTTCCTCCCATCCAGAACACAAGGAGCTCTCGGAGGCTGCCCTGGCTGGAAATAAAGTCTTTTCTCTGAATGAGAAACTTAGTTGAAGAAATCATTCCCAAATTGAAACGAAGCACCAATCATGCCTTTTTTTCTCTCTCCAAAAGTAATTTTTAAAAAACGGTTTTCCTTAAGAAACAGCAGGAGCAAAACCAAATGAATGTGAAGGAGCTTGCGTGCTAGTGGCATAAGCGATTTTAATGTATTCAGACCTAAATAAAAAGGCACGAATAAGTGAGGATGGGCAACTTTATTTATTCATTCGTTTATTGTATTTTGTGAAGGGGCTCAAGGCGGTTCACACATTTTTAAAACAAAACGGAAATAAATATGCGCGGACGGTTGAAAACTATCAAATGGCACAGGCTTCTGCGGTTTGGCTAAAAACAATTTAAAAATGTAAAAACATTAAAAAGGCATTAAAAAGAAGATAAAAACAGCAACCAGAGGGTATCTGTGTCAAGATGACTGTGGAGGAAGGGCACCCACGGTCACCATCTGGTTTCGGGCCCCGGAGCCCTCCTCCTGCTCCGTGCCAGGCGGGGCGCCTCCTTCCTGCCCAGCCGGGGGTCCCGCTGCTGTTCCCGCAAGCCGGCCAGGGCCAGCCGCCGAGAGGTCCCTGCGCGCTTAGTGAGGAACAGACTCTAGAGCACCCCGGCCATCCCGTGCCAGCGCCTTTCTCCCACAGAAGAGCCCCCCCCTCCAAGCCCTCCATCCTGGGGTATCCCTCCTCCCTCGGCCAAAGGAGGCGCCCGGGCGGAGGTGCCCTCGGCGCCCAATGCCCACCCGGCCGGCTGGCTCTGCCCCCTCGCCCGGGGCCGCTGCCCAGGCCGTTCCTTCCGAGGGGATTTTCCAGCCGAGGGGAAAGGCTGGAGCGGCGCGATTTCTGCTCGCCAGGAAGCAGGGAAGGCTTGAG